CTACTATTAATGTCTTGCTAGCTATGACATCCCTTAAGAAAGTGTGGGGGAAATCCTGTCATTTCAAAATTTATAAAGGTGCAGCTAAAGTCTGACTTTTTTATAGTGATTGGTGGATATCAATTGTGGAGGTTAATGCTGCTGACAAGAAAAAAAATATGTTTTTTAAATGGGGTTCTGACAAAGGTTCTTGTGTAACTCATGGATAAGAAAAATGAATGCCTATGCTAAATTATGATTGGGGAGAATCAGACCCTGATGTTGGAAATGAACAGATGCAAATATAAGCTAAGAGATGGAGATAACCTTGAGAAATATATGGCAGAAATGATGAAGGGTCATCATAGTAAAGAACAATCAGTATGGAGATGCTGTGCAGCAGAACACAGAAGGTCAGCTGCTAAGTGCACAAAATTAGCAATGGATTGTGAAGCGCTCCAAAAATTCTGCCATCCTATCCAATATGTAGACCCTAATAAATGGATTGTCTGTACAGAAACCAGTCATCCTCCAAACACTCCTTCAAACAAAATTCCCTTCATGTGAAGATATGTGACTATCAAATTGAACCAAACAACCATTGGGAATCTGAATGAAAATTTGCAGATGGCTTTAGAGCATTCCATCAGCTTTACTTCATACTCTGAATGTGCCACTCCTCCAGTGACTTACCTGGCGGTATTTAAATTGATTTTACAAAAGGGTCTAGAAAATGTCATGCCCAGTGATCAGAGTTATAGTTGTACAATCAATGTTAACAATAAGGATTATCTGTCTCATGATGTGCAATGTAAATTATTTTCTGCAAGGGTTGGGAAGGATACTCTTTAAGCCAACGTCGAGTTAACCTAATTCCAATAATAATAATAATAAAGCAACTACTGCTCCACACATAATATATTACTATGTCAATTTTATTAATGTCAGTGTTTGTGATGGTATTGAATACAAAGAAATCACAGTTCACATAGGCTGCCATTCATTGAACTGCGCCAAACTTACTGAATCAGCATGACAAAAAATATGTTTGATCTCTGGTAATTGTCACACCTGGAAGACTCAGAAAAGCACTGGAATAGGAAACCATTTCAAAGGCCTGATCCTGTCACCAATTCTTCTTGCCTGACTCCCTCATAGAGTGGATACAATCCTTCCCATACTGTAGTTAGTTTGAAATGAAAGAATTTATTATTTTCAAGGCTGAAAAGTCAGACACTGTTGCTCTGTAAATCAGGACATCCCAGTGTTGTTATGTTCATTTGTTCCCTTTAGCAGGCATATAAAAAAATCACAGACTAAAACGAGTCCCATAAGAGGTAGAAATTATATTTGAAAGTATGTGTGGCAAAGTGGGAGGTAACAGAATATTCAGCCTTAGAAAAATTGTTTCCAGCAGTGTGAATCAGAAAGTGAAACCCCTCTCATTGGAAAGCACAAGAGGGGTGATTCTGTAGTGAAGATAATAATCACTTCAGAAATCACTTTCCTTGCTGTCAAACAGGGGAGGGAAAGTGAGAGGAAAGTAAGGAGAAGAGTCTACTTGGAATTGCCAGTCTGTATAATAGACAGTGAAATTAAGAAAAGTATTCCTGCACAGAAAAATCCCAGTCAGAGAAAAAGTCACTCCTGTCATCTGCAATGCTCATTAGAATCATCAAATCATAGAATCCTAGGTCTGGAAGAGACCTCAGGAAGTCATCGAGTCCAGCCCCCTGCCCAAAACAGGACCAATCCCATTTAAATCATCCCAGCTAAAGCTTTGTCAAGCCAGGACTTAAAAAACCTTTAGGGGTAGAGATTCCACCATCTCCCTAGATAATCCATTCCAGTGCTTCACCCCCTTCCTAGTGAAATTGTTTTTCCTAATATCAAACATAGACCTCCCCCACCGTAATTTGAGACCATTACTCCTTGTTCTGCCATCTGTCACTGCCGAGAACAGCCTCTCTCCATCTTCTTTGGAACCTCCCTTCAGGTAGTTAAAAGCTGCTATCAAATCCCCCCTCACTCTTCTCTTCTGCAGACTAAATAAGCCCAAATCCCTCAGCCTCTCCTTTTAGGTCATGTGCTCCAGTCTCCTAATCATTTTGGTTGCCCTCCACTGGACCCTCTCCAATGCATCCACATCCTTTCTAGAGCAGGAGCCCCAGAACTGGATGCAGTACTCCAGATGTGGCCTCACCAGTGCCAAATAAAGGGGAATAATCACTTCTCTAGATCTGCTGGAAATGCTCCTCGTAATGTAACCTAATATGCTATTAGCCTTCTTGGCTACCAGGGCACACTGTTGACTCATATCAAGCTTTTCATCCACTGTAATCCCCTAGTCCCTTTCTGCTGAACTGCTACTTTTCTGCTGTCCAATGAATCCAATAACATGGATTCATTAGAAAAGGCAGAAATGACCATTCCCCATCTGAATAAAACATTATCTAGAGACTTCTTGTAATGTATTTCAGCTGAATTGCCCTGTGAACTCCATTAGCTCCTGCAGTTCAGAGCCAAACTAAGAATGCAGTTTCCCTTTTTAATTCATATTTTAGTCATACAACTTCATAGGATTATTCTCAGTGCTAATGTTTTTTCCTTACTGTGAAGATTTCATTCCCAAACTAAAATGAAAACCTTGCTGGAGAAACCTTATAATGGAAAAGCTACATGTTAAAATTTCTGACCACAGGGAGAGGACTAGCAGATGGAAAAATGGCATTGAATACATGTCTGAAGCTGATAAACTAATGAGCAAAAGTTATTTTCTTTGGATCTGGAACACAGATAAAACATATTGGGGCCGAAGTGTTCACTGCACCATAAGTACAGATACGTTGTGTCAAAAGGTGCTATCAGCTTCACCAATATAAATCCAGACTAATTGCAGGAAAGTCAAGGGATTTACTCTCATTTTACACAAGTGTAACTGAAAGCAGAATTTGGTTTTGTGCCTCTAGCTATTAACGTGACTGGCACTCTGTAAATATGATAGAACAATACTCTACACTTCAGCCATTATGTGATCTTTTCTCACCTATGTCAGAATGTTTTCTGGGTGATCTCTCTTTGTAAACTAGTTCATTGATCAATTTTTCTTTTATAAAGTGCCTATGACTTCAATTTTTGATTCATGTATTCCCATGAGACTATAAAATTGTTAAAAAATATGGACATTTAAAATGTTTCAGTTTCAAGTCAATGTAGGCTTGACTAGTTAAGCCCATTGTCTCTGTAGGAGGACTGCAATAAAACAGGGTTCCATCACCCACTTCCCATGAAAACATTTGGGTCAAAGGTGAGGACAGGAGAAATTGCTTCAAGAATTATCTCATGGTGCTTTATCCTCCATTGTTCAAGCATGAGGGTGAGGGGACAGGAATTGCTGGCGATAGGGTCATTCCACAAAACCTATGGATCCCCTGAAAGCTACACTATGTAAGCCCACCTGCATCTGTGTTGTGTCACTTGCAGCATGGTTTCTCCAGATGGTGACAGGGATCCTTATTAAAAGGGAATCCCTACTCTGGAGACAGAATCTGTAGAAAGTTTACTCCGCTCAATGCTGTCTTAAGGCTCTCCAGTGAATGCAAGAGGGAGTATTGGGCATCGATCTGGCCTTGCCCCCAGTTTGAACATCACTTCTACTCACCACCTGCAGATCTCTGAACTCATGGAGTCAGTGCAATAGAAGGAGATGCTGCAAAGGAGAATGCCTCACCTTCTGAGCAGGAGGGGTTCACTTTGTATGCAGATCATGGGGGGGGGGGTATGCGCAAGCCCAAAGTTCTCTTTCATTGTAGATTATGACCTGGAAACAGTGCTGGAAAAGAAGAAACCCCAGGAATGTACAAAATCCTGTATTAACCATTGCTGTGAGGATTATATGCACTCTAGAATTATGTTGATTAGTAATTAGCTGAAAGCAGATGGGGAATCATTCTATCTCCCCAGGAAGTTAATGCAAACTAGTTACAGTATTTATATCTAATTGAAACTCCCCTGCTAAAATATGTTCTAAATAAACCTAAAGGACTGGAATTATCCTGACATTTCAGTTAAAAATAGGAGAGCTCAAATATTGCATTTGAAATGATAAAATAAAACACACTGTAAGTGCTGCTCTAAAGTCAGTTCTAGAGGCCTACGTCCTCCACAGATGATCAATGTTGGTTTTGTTTCCTTATTTTATGTATTTGTTTCAATTTGTAATACATTGCTATAACTGCCATAAAAGGGAGCTCCATAGACGTACTGAACGTAGTGAGCTCCTCCTCACTCCAGAACCTAAAAATAAAATTCAAGACACGACCTACTGTACTGCACACACACATCAGCCTTTTTGTACCTTGTTCCCCAAAAGCCTGGGTAAACAGATGGGCCATTCAGTCATCCACAGATTAGGGCTATTTGTAACCAAGTTGAGGGCAGTACGTTGAGTTGCTCTCACAGAGACTGCTTCTTCTTGTAGAGTGAGGGAGCTCCAGTACAAGCACCTGCGATTGTTATAGAAATGAATGGCAGAACCTGCATCACTTTTCATACAGAAATCAGAAGGAACATCTCCAGTATCTCCTTACTAGAAGAGGCATTAAAGTTATGTTATCCCTAAGAGAGATTTAATTTGCCAATTGATATAACTTCTATTCTGCCCCTAAGGCCAGTGTAGCCCATTGGGGCTCTATGCATAAATATTTTGAGCCCCTCCACACACAGCACATACTAATAATTAATAGTGGGCCCCATGAGCTGCTCAGGGCCCTGAGCAATTGCATAGTCGGCTTATATTAATGCCAGCTCTGCCTGAGGCCCAGAATAAATTAGCACAAGATCTCAAGCATGGCACGTTATTGTATATAATTATTTCTATTTGACAGGCTATCACAAAGAAAACAATCAGAATGATCCTGAAGAGTCCATGGATAATTCCAGACATTATCAGTGTACCAAGAAACACTTTGAAGAGAAGAAAAGTGAGTCATCATCTTTGGTGTCATCCACTGAAAATGAACAGAAACCTCTTTTCTCTGAAATAATCAATTACCCATCGATGATAGGGAAAACTACAGGGCTGGACTTAGAAGAAGTGGTGCGTGCAGCAGAAAGGATCCATATTGAGAGAAGAAGCCACTCTTGCAGAGGTAATCTATTCCATGTCACTAACTTGTAAAGCTGATCTATTTAGTTTAGCTCTGATGACCAGTGCTCTTTGAATGCTTCATTGATATATAATACATTAATTTACCTTTAAGGTTTCCATGAAACCTTGACAAAATAATATTCTTTTGTGTCAAATATGGATTATCCAATGAAGCATTTCCCTTGAGAGGTAATATGGTTTGGTAGTCTGAGAATGAAAATGGAATCCAGAGACTCTTAAATTGAAGTCTAGGCTTTGCCAATTATTAACTGCATTGTCTTGGATAAGTCATTTAAGCCAATATTTTAATTTAATTTCATAATGTTACTGGATGCCTTTATTTTTTGATGCCTAAAATAAATAGGTATATGAAAAGTTGGGTCTTAATGTCTCTGAATTAAATTTTCCCTTAGTTAACAATAGCAAGGCTGCAAACAAGGCTACAAGATTCATAGTTGTGGTGAATCCATCAAATGAAGATTGGAATGAAAAAAAGTTGAATGCCCATCATGCTACAGTGCTGAATGGAAGTACAAAACCTTAGTTAGAGCACAAGATAGGTGTACTATGAGTTTCATAAATCTAGTCTAGATAACGGAGGAAAGTGTTTTCAGGAAATTAAAGTAATAAATTGGCTTTATTATTTTATGGTTAGAGCAATATGAATAACAAATATTTCAGTTTGCTGACAATTTTGAAATAAAAATGAGAGAAAATATTATGTTTTTATTTCAATCTTTTTCAACATTTAAAAATAAATATTTCATTTAGAAAACATTGAAAAAAAAATTAAAAATTGAGATTTTGTTTAATCGAAATAATTGGGTGAAATTGACATGAATTCATGAAATATTTTGATATAATCAAATTTCCATTTTTTCCAGAACAATTTTGCTCAAAAATTTTAGCCAGCTTAATTTATTCTATTTGTATTTTATATTATCACACATTTAAAATAGTGTTAAAGCTATGTATATCAATGAGATTGAAAGACATATTATCCAATTCTGTAATATTATTTGATTAAAAGTGAAGAAATATCACACAGGAACACATCTTTATTTCACTGGCAAATTTACATGAGTAAGGAGAGCAGAATTTGGTTCTTAGTGTATGCAGATGGGGTTTACTGTGAGTAAGCAATCACAGTTAACTTAATATGGAATGATTGTTTTATATCTCATCAAATATTCTTTTTGTCTTTCTCTAAAGCCTTAATTTACTATGTTAGGGTGAACTAATGAAAAGTCTGTTTATACGGTATTAAAGGTTTTGTTGTTGAAGATGCATTTACTATTGCTTTTGTTTAAAAGGACTACTTCTGTGTTTAGTGCTTATTGCTTTTTTTCCTTCAATAATTTATTTCTGCTACAATAAATTTAACTACACAAATTCAGGATCAACTTCAGGTTTCTAAGATATTATTTTAAATTATTCTAAAAACTAATCCATCAGAATTACATACAGTATATTTGCTGGCTCAAAAAGCCAAGTTTTATGACATCTGGTCTTCTCAGGGTAAGGTCAAATGCTCATATAAACTTGTTTTGTCCATATTGCAGTTTCAAAGCTTACTTGTCCCTGCCAGTAGCCAGAAATGTGTCCTTGCAGCTATAGCAACATTTTCCAAGGCAACATAGTGCAGATTTTACTCAGCGCTAAATTTAGCAAGTCTAAAAGACCACATATAAGCCAAGAATTTGAGGGAGAAGGGTATCTTTGTAATCCTTCCTTTTCAATGATGTATTGGAAAGCTTTCTTATAGCTTCTATACATAGTTAGATTGTTTTTTATTGATTTTAAAGAAAGTGTTATGCCTAATATCAATTAGAAATTGATTTTATGTTTATAAGGGCAATTGTAAACCTAATGAGTCTATAAGTATACATCTTATAAATATACATATAAATGCACTTATATACTCGTTTACATAACTTATTACTGTTGCAAAAAATATATTTTTAGTCTAGGCCTTACTGTATTTTTTGTTTTAAATGTTAGTCATTAATTTATTGTCTATAAAAGAAAGAGACTATTAACCCTGAATTGAATAGGGTGGGACAGGCAGTGTAAATGTTGCCAGTTTAATCCTGTACCATTAATTTTATATCAGTCCTAAGCCTCTGTTAACAATACAATGGGTAGCTTCTCTGTAGCTGCTCCCCTTCCCCCCCGCCCCATGCACGCACACACACACGCACACACACACGCACACACACACACCTATCCCCACAGCAGAATAATGCCATTTCCACCCTTTGGAACTTCACCTGGCCTTCCTTCAGGTCATAGGATCTCATTCTTCAGCTGTTGAGGTTAACCAGTCCATATATATATTAATTTATATCACATCTTGGAAATAATCCTCCATTCTTCCAACGCCACACTGAATAGTAATGTTTTTACTATCTCCTCGCCACTCTATGGCTTTTGTGGCTGTTAATACAGGAAGGAGCACCTGAGAAGATATATAGAAGAAGAGGAATGACTTATCCCTTGAAGAATTATGTCTAGAATAGAGTTTATTATGGTCCTAGTTTGAATTCACACTAATTAAGAATTGGATTGTAATCATTACCTCCACAAACATTTGTGCTGGGATACAAACACTTGTCATTCACCCAGGGCTGATTCAAAGAAACACCAAGGTCAGGTAGAGGTACAGATTTTATAAGTAAAATCTAAGGGGTTTTACAGAGCAGTAAAGAAGAAGTGTAAAAAATACCATGTATTATTTGCATTTCATTCTTTAAATTCATTGTCTATAATCAGCCATCTACTATTCCAATATCCCGAAAGCATTCTACAAACAGATATGGATTTCAATTATGCTGGGTCTGGAATTGTCATAATTTTGCTCCCTCCTCTCTCAAAGAGCTTTCCAGCTTCCTCAGGCTATGTCTATACTGCAGTGCTATTTTGGGAGAGCAGAGGTATCCCAAAATAGCTATTCTGTGTCTTTTGAGTGCTCCCATTATTTTGAAATGTACACAGGCTCGCTATTCTGATGTCCCTGTAAACCTCATTCCATGAGGAGTAAGGGACATTTTGGAATAGCAATTTATTTTGAAATAAGTGCTGTGTAGACCGTGCCAAATTTTGAAATAAGCTATTTTGAAATTAACTCGAAATAAGCTACACAACTTGCATGGCTCAAATTGCGTAGCTTATTTTGAATTACGGGTGCAGTGTAGATGCATCCTCAGACAACTGGAAATTATATTGTCCACGCTGAGTAAAAATTACAATTCTCACCTATTTCTTTCTCCTGGGGTCATGTAGTGAGTGGTAGAGAAGCTGAAAGGGACACCATGGAGCCAAGGTGAAATCTCCTCCTCCTCCTTCAGCCCTATTCATGCTACTGGGTGCATGTTATGTCATGTAACATTACAGACTCACTATAACCTCAGGAAACCCTTGAACACCACAAATCTCAAAGATCTATTAATCTAATAAAGCTCATCCGTCCCTTCTCTGCTCAAAGGAAATGAAGAACAACACCTCCTTTTTTGGTTTATGTGGTGAGAGCTCCTCTTAGGAATTCAATCTACTTTAGCCACTGTATCTTACATTTTGGGGAGGGAGTTCCTTTCTTTACTATGGGATTTCCTCCCATTGGGTAAAAGGTTTCAAAAGTTTATGAAACACTTGTTTAAGGGATTTTTGATTGAACAGAATTCTACCTCTTAAAAAATCAAATGTAGAGATTGTAGCTTTAATTCTGTCATTCATTCCATAAGTTCAAAAACATGTCTAAGTAGAGATGTAAGTTTATACTTCAAGAGGTTTGTTTTTTGCAGACATCAGTGATAAAAGAAACTGGGAGTGGGAAAATACCAAGGAGCACCATGAGATCTCCAGACAGTCAGCATTACCTCATGTTACATGGGGCATCTGTGAAAGTGAAAGTGAGTTGACCTATGGAGAAGTAGAGCACCGGCTAGATTTACTTCAAGAACAACTCAACAGGTAAAAGCAATTATGTGAAAGGATCAGACTGCCTTGATAACACCATTGATATCAATGGAGCCACAACAAGAATGAATTTAGTGGGGGATTTTCACAAGCATCTAAGTGAATCATGAATACAAATCCCATTGAAAGTCAATGGCACTTGTGCTTCTAAGTCACTGAGGGACAGATTTTTAAAGTATTCAGGTGCAGATGAGTACACAGCCAAAATCGCAGTGGGTAGGCACCTATCTGTATATTTAAGTGCCAAAATAGAAATCTGGCCTTTTAGCCCTTTAAAAATCTCATGCTGGGGTGGGTAGGTTCAGGTTTTTTATTCTCTCCATCATCCCTCTTTCTCCTGAACTTTTGCACCAAAAGCAGTTCCTAGTTTTTGATACACACAGTTCCTGTGCCCAGAAAACAGGAAGTACTGCATTGTTCTGGGAAGGTACTGAGCGAACCAGCTGTCTTCCTTGCAGAAGCAGGATTTGTATTGTAGGAATCTTCACTTTCTGATATGTAAACCTCCTTTTGCAGCTGTCACTATGATAAATAGCCACGGGAGTATCACAAGTGCACAACACACCTACTACAATAGAAAATAGTCATTTTCTTTGTCAAAATACTTCATGTGTAAGATACCTTTGCTAATACAGCTCATCTTTCTTCTCCCACTCCTGATCAATGTCTAACATACCCTGTTCTCACCAGTGGCTAAACAGCATAGCATATGGAATCTTAAAAAATATGGATTTTTATTATTTCTCCCCAGAATTCCGTTACTCTCAACATTTTTGCCCTGACAAGTACGCAATTTAACTCCAAATGTAATATGACACAAATGTTTCTCATATGTGACCACTGTGGCCACTAGGCACTTACATGGCCCTCATCACAGCATATGAGAATTTGTACATAATAATGTCTTGCTTATTATTCTTTTCTTTTTTTGAAATCCTAAATGTATCTAGAGCTCAGAGCCAGTATTAGGTTTATTGATGCTATAAGGAAAGATTTCAGTGAAGGGAGTTTTCTGATGAACTGCTGAGATTTTAAAGTTTTATTTCTTTTTCTGGATTTTATCCCCAACCTACTTTAGTTACAAATTATTTGTGGTGCTTTTTAAGGTACCTTTTGCTTCCTGAATTCTGGATCTGGCTAGTCCCTTGACAGGCCAGACAAGCTACCAGAGGACTACTCTATGCCAGCTTTAAACAACTGCTGTGCTGTCCCAGAAAAGTTAGCAGTGTGCCCTGGGCACACTCCCTGCCTCCTTCCACACTTAGCCATGCCTGATACGATGTTAAACTTCAGGTGCATGGTAGACTGGTATAGTTTTATACAAACTCGGAAAGCCCAGTAATCATCTGTCACTACATGTCTCTTTTATGCCACTGGAACTGTGTGCTGGAGAATCTGGTCCAAGGAGTTCCTGAGTAATCTTTGCCCTCCCTTGTGTTTGTCTTTGGGAGTGTGTAATAAGGCTCTATTTTTGAAGGGTTTGCTTGTTTTGCTGGTTTCTTGTGGGGTAGTATCAATGGTTGAGTGAGAGAGAATGAGGAGTAGAAGAAACTAGCAATGTCTGATTTGGAATAGTTGGGAACTAAAAAGAGGGCCATTCTAGAGATAACTAAACAAAAAGCAGAAGGAGCAGAGGAAGAGTGATACAAGAGGACAAAATTATCAACCAAATTCTCAGATTCTTGCATTTCTTCTATTCAGAAGGGAATGATGACTTAGTTTTAGAAGACATGCTCTCTGCTGCTGCAGTTTTCCCCTGTGGCATTGACAGGATGCTTCCCATGAGGTCAATAGTGGCTATCAGCACACAGTGCAAGGGATGCACAGGACATGAATGGGTATAACCCCAGGGCTAGAGCCTTGTATTACGTTGCTTTTTACATTGAGGCTACAGAATCAATGGCAACCACAGCTGAGCTAGGAGAAATGTTGCAGTGTTGCAAAGGCATCTTCGGCATCCATTAGAGGAAAGAGATCACATGTAAGATTAGGGCTTACTGCACAGCAAAAATCTACTAGAGCAGGAATTGTGCTGCTGCTGTAGAGTTATCGTATGGATGTTCACAATACTGAGAGATGTTGACATAAAAATCTGTTTACAGTGAAAATGATTCCGTCAGGAGATGAGTTCCAATACAGGAGGATTTCTACCCAGATTGCAATCTGTTAGAACATGTTGTGTGGTCTCCTAGCAGCTGGGGAGGCACAATAGGCATTACCCATTGCTGAGTTTCTTAATTATGTTGGCAAGACAAATTGAAAATCATTTCAGTGCCATGGCAATGGAAGTGGGGAGAAGATAAGCAGACTCAAATGTTGTGACTTACACCAAAGTTTATTTAAACTTGCGGGATTCATGCACCAAATCATGAAGAGTTAATTAATCAAACAATCAAATAAACCACTTTGAACATTAAATATGTTGAGTTTAGTTCTGAATTTTGAATACAGGCAGTCCCCGGGTTACATGGATCCGACTTACATCGGATCCCTACTTACAAACGGGGTGAGGCAACCCCGCACTAGCTGCTTCCACCCAGCAGACCAGGGACCAGGGAGACACGGAGCGGCTTTTCTCAGCAGACACTTCAGCTTGAGAATAAAGGGCTGAGGGAAGTGAGGTGTGGGAGAATAAAACTGAGCTCTGGAGAAATGTTTGGCTAGAGTTTCCCCTACAATATGTACCAGTTCCGACTTACATACAAATTCAACTTAAGAACAAACCTACAGTCCCTATCTTGTACGTAACCCGGGGACTGCCTATAGAGATTCAGAATACACCCCTCCAAATCCTGCTTTAAATTCTAATAATTCCTTATGGTCCTAAAGAGATTCCTACTTTTGAGACCTTTACTAAAAACAACCAGATTGCCCAACAGTTTCCTGCTGTGGGGAATCATAAAGTATGCCAAATTGTTTTGTTGAGGTATCCCCTTAGAAGTAGCCTTCGAACATTCAGAGTTTTCTATTGCATTAGAAATCCTGGACAAGACCCTTGGCCTGGATAAACCAACATAGCTCCAGTTAAATTAATGTGAGCTATGTGTGTTTGTCAGCTGAAAATCTGGCCCCCAGTAGTCATATTAATTGCAAACATAAATTATAGTACAGGTTGAACCTCTCTAGTCTGGCACTCTCTTGTATGGCAACATCCGTGATCTGCCATGATTTTTGTTAGCTAGATGTCCACTTATCATGGGCACGGCCAAGTTTCCACTAGTCCCATAAAGTTTGTTTGCAACCACCAGTCCTGGCTCCCAGTATTCAGTGCTGTTATCTAGCTCTAATTTACCCCCAAATGTCTTCTTAGAGGCCAGTAAGCAGTGGAAATGCTGGTAATGCTGCTAAACTATATATTGACCTCCAGTTTGGCACCAGTCAGGGTCCGAGAGTGCAAGACTAGAGAGATTCAACGGGTAATGTATTATTCTTACATTATACTAGCTAAAGTCTGAAGCTAACAGTAGAACATACATTCTGTAGGAGACAGCCAGCTACTAGTCATCGAATGGCCCAGTGCTCCCCCTTCTGGTTCTTTCCTATTCAAAACATGACAATATTGTTACACCTAATGGCTTGCTTTGTTAATAAGCTACAGATCCCTCTTGAATGCATTTGTAATCGGTGTGTTAAAACATAATCACCCATGACCATGTGTTAATTGATTTCATATTCCTTTCCTAGGCTTGAATCCCAAATGACTGCTGACATTCAAACCATCCTGCAGCTACTGCAGAGACAGTCAACACTCATTCCACCTGCTTATAGTATAGTGACTGCAAGTGCAGAATATCAACAGCCAGCTATCCGGGTGATGCAAAGCCTTCATCCAGTAGTATCTATTAAAACAGACAGAAGCTTCAGTCCTTCATCACAGGTATGGATATGCCCAGAATCAACATTTTTACCTATTGCTGAAGACTCAGCATTTGCTCTGTAGTTTTTTTGAATAGGAAATTGGAATTTTACCCAATGTCTCCACAGGATTCATCTAGTTATATTATTTTGAATGCGAATCTCCAGGGTCAATTTCCTACTGGGATAAAGCCAAAATAAAGGTCTCAAAGCTACAAATGTAGTCATCATAATGCATTTAGCAAGGGTTGCAGACCCCACAGAAAAATATAGAGGAAGTGGGGAGTCACAGGCAAGCCCAAATCAACTATTTGGCCCCAAAGTCTGCCACTATTCAAGTCCTTAAAGCCGTAAACCACACTTTGCTTGCACCTGCCATGAAGAAACTCAGTTGATGCATCAGAGAGCATCTGCTGTCTGTGTGTGAAAGAGAAATGTGGGACTGGAGGAGTATGTTCCATCAGCACTCCTGGAGGTAACATGCTCGTGTCAGGACATTGACCCTATCTCTGCATACTTTCTATCATAGGCTGTAAGTTAAAAAGATGCGGAAATTATGAATTTGATTCAGCCACAGATTTTGATTCTGAACTATCCCAGGAGCTTAAGGTTGGTCCATCTCAAGACAGTTCAGCCTCTGATTGGAAAATTTTCTTATGAATTATAGCCAGGAACTGCTAATCTGAGGAAGGAGGGTGGGATTCCCTAGTTTCTCAAATAAATCCTGGACAGAATTGCATTGGACTGCAATTAATCAAACACGGTATTTAGCGAAATTAGGAAAATTATTGATTTCTTGGCTCACGTCAGACTTGGTTTGCAAACAATGTTAGGCTTTTGTTTTGGATTTTGCTCATTTTCAGTAGAAATGGGAAGCCTCATGAGACTTTTTAAAATATATTGTCACATTCTTTCTTTTCTTTTTTTCCTCAGTGTCCTGAATTTCTAGACCTTGAGAAATCGAAACTTAAATCCAAAGAATCCCTCTCAAGTGGAGTGCATCTTAACACAGCCTCAGAAGATAATTTGGCTGCTTTTTTAGAACAAGACCATGACCAGTCTTTAGAGTTTCACCCACAGCATTGTAAAACTTACCTCCATTCCATTAGGCATCCTTCCTTGCCAGATTCTTCCCTAAACACTATAGGAATCTTGGGTCTTCATAGGCATGTTTCTGATCCTGGTCTTCCTGGGAAGTAAATCCTTTTATACTATTACTTCACATACAATGTAAGTGCTTTTAATGGCTGTTTTTCCTTTTTTTTTTTTTTTTTAATTTAAATCCTCTATACTTGACTCAGGGGCTACAAGAATATACCATTATATGCAAAAGTACTGTATATTTTCCTAAAATTGAAGCTTGTACGGTAAAGTTGAGCAGTTACGATGTAAATATATATATATACTGTATGTTCCAAATGTAAAACTGCCAGCATTCTCAAGGCACCTTATATTTTTTAATTTTTTTAAAAACACATGCATGTTCTGAAATTTATGTTGCATGGAAATTATCATTTACTGCTTTCACTGAAATGGTTCTTTATTGGGGATTTGCCTTCAAATCAAATAAGAGGCCAGGTGATGATGGTAATTCACACAGTCATAACTCATACTTCACTGAGGTATTCTAAATTCAAGCAGAAATCTTTTTCCTATTCGCTTTGAAAAGATACATACAGTCAATGGTCATCATTATTCTGCTTATAGCAAGAGTAAGAGAACAGTGTCTAATGGATTCTAAAATATTAAGATATAATACAGAAAGCAGCCTCTTCAAAGCAAATTGAAGTAGGTCACAGTTTTAACAGAACAATGGTACTACACAATGGGAAAGTATCATCCCTGATTGCAACCTCAAGATCATACCAACTGAATAATTTGTTTTCAATATTTTGGGCTTTTTTATTTTTATCCTTATCATGCTTAAAAGGTTGGCTGTCGTAAACAGCCAGGTAGTTCTCATCTGTCACCCAAACATAATCAAATGCAATAAATATAATTTCTATGTAATTGAGAAGACTGTGTTCCTTTTGTTCAGAGCAAACTACAAACAACCTGTATGATTAAAATATTTACAAGTTTTCTTTTTATAATTATCATAATTGTTTGTGATACCTCTTTTTACCTATTGGTCCCTCCATAGAGAGCTAGAGAATATATATATATATATATACACATGCATATCTAGTGCATATGTGTGTATACATATACACATACAGGCAGTCCCCGGGTTACGTACAAGATAGGGACTGTAGGTTTGTTCTTAAGTTGAATCTGTATGTAAGTCGGAACTGGCGTCCAGATTCAGCCGCTGCTGAAACTGACCTATTGGTCCCTCCATAGAGAGCTAGAGAATATATATATATATATATACACATGCATATCTAGTGCATATGTGTGTATACATATACACATACAGGCAGTCCCCGGGTTACGTACAAGATAGGGACTGTAGGTTTGTTCTTAAGTTGAATCTGTATGTAAGTCGGAACTGGCGTCCAGATTCAGCCGCTGCTGAAACTGACCGCCAGTTCC